GGTCTTGTGATTCTAAGTATTCTAATATTTGTTTTCTTGAGAAAGGAGCATAGAGGCAGTTTCAGCACCAACCCCAGCTGACCACTTTTCCCCTTTTTTCTCTCCCCTCCTCTTCGCTCCCATCTCCTCTATCTGCTCTGAGATTAACCAGTGCCATCTAGGTTTTTTTTTAGAATTATTGTTATCGGTTTTAATATTTCTATTTTCATTTTTGTTTCCTATTTTACAAGTTGTAACCCACCCAGGGTAGTGCTGTGATGCTAATGGGAGCAGGATACAAACTGAATGAATGAACACATGCAAAAGAGAAGCATTGAAGCAGGAACTTGTGCTAGATGTTGCAGAAGAATAACCAATTCCTTACCGGACAGGCCAAACTCCGGAGGCAATGTAGGGTGAAAAAAAGATGAAAGAGAAAAGAACTGAAAAAAAGGGGTAAGGACACAAAAATTAAGGCAAATTCAATTAGCAGGAAGTAAAGCAAGTGAATTTATTAGGTACCCTTATGGACCCATATGGATAACAGTGTGGAAGTACACAGATAAAGAGAGTTTCAGGATAACAAAGCTGTTTCAGTTTTCAAAGTTATAACCCTGTTAGTCTGTGTAAGCATTTCCACAAGAAACACAAAACAAAACACACACACACACACAAAAACAGATGCTGTGGCACTTTAAAAACTAACTGCTATATTTTAATGTAAGTTTGATCCAGACAGCAAAACAAAAAAACTACATAGACAAATGGGAAAGACAGCTTGCCGATATATTTTGTTGAACAAATGTTAGGTTAACACAACCTACATAAGGAAATACAAGAGACAGAAGCTGAGGAAATTCAGGTGCTTAGAAAGTAGCACAATCTCATTTCTGATCCAACATCTTTGCTGCTTTCTCAAAAGTTTCAGCACTTATGAACAGTTATTTCCTCCTCAAAAAAGATGGGAGAAAGTTAAGGGTTTCATTATATTAGGATACGCTGTTGTTTTGTTCATCACCTTCAGAGCTTTGCCTATCCCTATTACCTCAAACAGCTGTTAGCCATCACTTCCTTAAAATCCCAACAGTTAATTAGCAACAAGATACAGTAAACATGTACAGCTTGCCACATCTAATTATATTGTAATTTTCTTAAGTTAGAAACAGCATGTTATTCAAATTTGTGTCATTTTTTCATTAAAAAAGACAAAAATTTCAGTCTCACATCTGTAAACATCTCTTCAAGTTTCTCTCTTTAACAAAGATAAGATTGCTCAATTACTTGGAGTTCTCGTCACCCATTACAAATCAAGCCAGAAAATAATTAGCACAACTTTTTTTGAAGAAAAAAAATCCAAAATGATAAATATTTTATTTGGCAGTGCGGTAAATTAAATTGGATATTGCCTAATTCTCTTTTCTCTGATCCTTCAGAAACTAATAGCAAGATTTATTATTTTAAATATAATATCTTTTTCTTAGTGCAACAAAAATATTATTTTACAAACTGCTGGGTTATATTTAGGTTTCCCAATGGTTCAATTACAAACTGAATTTACATTTATAGCCATTTTGTTTCCCAGAAAAAACTTGGTGAAAGAGGGAGCCCAACATATGTACCCCAAAAAATGCCCTATCTCCATTAAATATCATTAACCCAACTTTTTTATCAATATCCCTTTCAAGAGAACCAAGAACATATTCATTTGTTAAAGTTATTTTTGTCCCTTTTAACATACATTTCAGTTCACTGCAATAAGATATTGTATGGGGAATGCAAGGCTATTCTGATACAAATGTTAATGATTTTGTTCTATTAAACACAAGCATCTTGAAAGGCATCAAATGGTATCAGACTATGCTACACCAACATCAAGGTCAATGTAAAACAGTATTCCCTCACAAAGGTATCTCTTCCTTAGCTAGCTGACACTTGAGCATGTCAGATTAGTCTTCCAATGGACATTTATCGAAGCAAATTCTAACAAACAGGTGTAAAATAGAGCTGTGTGCTAGACCCCACATTATTCAACCTTTTTGAATAACTTTGCCCCCTATCTAGATGGAGAAGATGGTCACCACCCTAAACTTAGACCTTGCCATGTACTGATATTGCTTTACACAGACAACACTGCAATTTTATCCTGGATCTGCCAAGAACTTAAACAACTAATTAATAATATGTATTAAATAATGAACTCCAACTGAATTGTAATAAATATAAAATTATGTTTTTTGGCAAACCATGGAAATTATTCAGATGGAATTTTAAGGAAAATATCATTGAACAGATCAAACACTTCCAATATTTAGGAATACCTTTTCATTGCAAACACACCTGGCTTTGACATAGTAACAACAGTATTGAATTCTGCTAGGGTGATGGCACAGGCCATTGATAATTTCCATTTTAACAGAGGCAATTCTTATGTGCCTGTAGCTCTCGAAGTGTTCAATGCCAAAATTATACCTCAAGTTTTATGTGGCATTCCCATTTGGATGAGTGCCCAGTGGAACAGATCCAAGCCTCATTCTATCAACAGGAGAGTCAACTACAGTGGAGAATGTGGAGGCTGTTTTGAACCAAATAGTGAGGAGCCATAGATTAAGACATAACAAATTTGTAGGTTTAGTTAATTAATTGTCTGTTAACTGTATATGCAACTGTTTTACATATGCAAATAAAGTTTTTTATTTGATCTGAAGAATCTTGGAAGGAATCAAATTATAACAGACTCTGATACACCAACATCAATGTCAATGTCAAAGAGCATTCCCTCACAAAAGTATCTCTTCCTTAGCTAGCTGACACTTGAGCGTGTGTAAACAAATGATAAGGAAATACAAACATTTCTGGAGCACTGAAATGCAGATAAGAGTAAATTGTTACCTGACCAAATTTGTTCACCACTACTTTGTGCTCCTGGCATTTTTCCTCACCAAGTAAAATGCCATGGAACCATTATGCTATTACAGTAGGTGCAAGGGAACAAGTAATAATATAAACAGCATAATATAAATGTTTGCAAACTTAAGAAAAGCAATAGAGATTCCCACTTAAAATTTTCTGACTCTTTACAGAGAACTGTGATTACTAACTATACTGGCAAAATTCATACATTTACAGTTGAAGGGGAGCGTAAATAACTGAGAGAAAGTGGGAAGCAAGAAAACATACACACCGCACACACCAAATACCAACAACTGAGACACCAGGTACAACACACCAAGAAGCAGGCAAGAGCAGCAAAGGCAACATGGATTTCCTTCCATAGATGAAAAGTGGCCAACTTGTGGGTCAGAATATTGTTTAGAAACCCTCTTGTGAGTCTAGATATGCTCAAAGCTAAAGACTGCTCAAAGCTATTGTGCTTTTTACTTTTTAATGATGTGTTTTAGAGACGTACTCTCTGCTTTTGATCATGCCTTTCATTCAAGGCTATAAGTTCCTGCATTTTTTAAGAATGTATGCTCCTGCAATTTTGTAAAACGATTATCTCCTGACTTAAAGTCTGCCTAAAGCTTAAGTCTGCTTTTGGATTATTTCTTATTCACAAATTTTTCACAGTTCTAAGAATGATTTTTGAATTAGAGATGGGGTTATTCATATATGAATATCCCCGCACAGGTGGTGTTAATGATGTGGTGCTGAGGATATAGACGGTGTGATTCTACAAATAGCTCCGCAGCACGCAATCTGCTTGCCACGTTTCGACCTTGAAGCGAGGTTTATCATCCCGCCTCCTGCCAGGAGTGGTGAGTGGATCGCGCGCTGTGGAGCCATTCAGAGAATCGCGCCATCTGCATCTGTGGCAGATTGGTGAGTGGACTGTCCAGCTCCAAGGGGCTACGTCCTCAGTAATGCCACCTGTGCAGGGATATTCATATACGAATACAAATACCCCCATCTCTATTTTGGATGACAATAATACCTGCAACTTTTTACAAGTTTCAAGAACGCATTTCAATTTTACAATTTGTGCCTATAGTTTTTCACGGTTGTAAGACTGGTTTCTACCTAACTCAAGTAATGTGCCTGTGATAAAAGTTACCTATTTTCAACAACTTTGAAGTATTCTTATGTTTATGGAAGAGAAGCAATGTAGATGAATAAAGCTTGCAGAAATAAGCAAGCCGATGTTGCCTGCATAATTTTTCTACCTGAGAAAAAATATTATAAAAATATGTGGCTATCTAGAGAAAACGTATTTCACCACAAGTGAAACAATGGTTTAAAAGACTTATTTTGCCTTCATAACCAGATCAATTTTGATATAATCGGAAAAAGTTATCTAGATCACACTGAAATTAACCCTTTCAAAGACAAATACCAGCTGTGGGCAAACAGGCTTCTGATTTTTCCTAGAGGTCTATATAGGTCTATAGGGCTCTTAGGAAAACATTCAAGCACCAGACTTTCTGACCCGATACCTTCCACTGGTGCTACTCTGCCCAAGCCAATGCCTTTGATCCTATCTTTTCACTCCATGAACAGAAGGGTTTCCAAACCCTGGAAAAATCCATTCTGTATACAGAACTCTCCTACCTCCCATTAAGATTATAAAGTCAATGATTTTAAATTCTGACTCAACTGAAGGCTCTGTACATATCTGAATTTCTTTATGTTAATTTAAAAAAAACCATGCACACAATGAAATACAGCTAGAAACCAGATTAACAGAAACCAAATCAATAGTACACCTAAAGTCAATGTGTTTGACCTCATCAACACTACACTTTTTGTAGAATTATAGAAGCAATTATAAAAGCAATTATTAAAGTTGTAACATTACATAGCAATGCTTCAGCTGTTTTCTGCCCAACCTACTTACAGCCCATTTGTACTGTACCTTAACAAAGGCCAGTCAATCTGTTCAATTATTTAGATTATTTCAACCTGATATTATACTGACATATACCTATTAAATACACTGAGTTACATGAAATCGCAACACAGTCAAGTGAAACCTTAATGCAACCTGAGAATTTCTAGTTAAAAATAAAGTAGTATTATCTGTCAACCTTATCTTTGTCTTCCACAACATCTGCCAGGATGTCATCTGGGTCCAGGATTCCCCCGTCTGTGTACTCCAGATGGTGAATATTCACCCAATGAGAGGGATCCTGTAAACAGAACATAAGTACATTTTTCTAATTAATCACCATTTTAGTACACTTAATCAGCAACAGGGTATCAAAAGATGCAGTCAGTAATTGAGCTTGATGGAGAAATGTTTGTGGTTTTTTTGTTTTTGTTGTTTCTTTTGTTGTTGTTGCTGTTTTGTTTTTGCATTCAATAGCTGCAGATTAGAGTGCAGGTTAAATTACTATTTTGGTTCATATTGAATTGAATCAAAGATGCACTAGCCGAAGAAACTCAGGCAATGATGCTGTTCAATGAACTGCTGTGGAAATGTTCAGAGTTTCATCGTGCTAAGACTCCCTCCTGATGCTTCTCTTGCATCAATGAGATTTCCCTAGCTTGTTGTCAAAATAAGACCCTGCTCTCTTCTTTCTCTTCCATTATTATATTTTTATTTGTTTTTCAGGAAACTGTGAAAATATGTGCAGTTTAATGTCCTTTCTGGCGCATGAAATACCCCATTCCATACAGGAATGACAATAACCCTGTGCAGCTTTATTTTGCTTTGCCCTTTCCAGGTAAATCCTTCACAAGAAAAATGTCATTCTGTGCAGAAATTGTAATATTCCTGCACAGCTTGGCATTCTTCCACAAAAAGTGATCACAATGCTTTCAACAAATCCCTCGAGATCCCCTGACACATTTCTCAGGGGAAAAGATCCTTGCACAATGAAAATGTCACCACAAGGACAGAAAATTTATTTTTTCCCCCTTGGTTTCTCTCGAAGATCCAAAACAACAACAACAACAACAAAACCTTGCTAAATTCACATCCCTATCATGAATGGACTTTTGTCTACTTCAGCACAGGGTGTTGTTTCTGCTGGGAGATTTAAATTTGTGAGGTCCCTGCTGAAGTGACTTTTAAAAAAACATAAAAACTTATGTTCAACTACCACAAGATCCAAGATTTAAGTCCTCCTTTCTCACTTTCTCACTGCAACAGGTTAGGAGGACACTTTTGGATTTAATGAACAAGTGTTTATACGAAATGATCACAGTTTATTCAACATACTCAAAGTCAAGACAAGTGCATAAGAATCCATAGGACCTTGAAGTTTCACTCTGGGGGAAAGGGAGGGGAAGCCAGAGGGGCTCTAATGCCAAGAAACAGAAAAAAAACGATATATTCTCCTCTATGAGAGTCACCGCTTGCTCAAATTGGAGCAAAATTCTGCTGAGCTTCTGTTGGCAATCCCCACAAAAGCATTACAGGTCTGCAAGTGCTGCTGTTGTTCAAGTCATTAATTGCATAATGAAAACCTGTCCCCTCCTGCATGTGTAACATCAACACAAGTAGCCTGATTACTGTACTGAAGAGAACCTCTGCCTAGCAGAAGCTCAAGAGGGTAACAGTTAAAATGTGTAACACAAACATCAGCTTTGATCTCCAGTCTGTGGTTACACTGAATAAAAGTGCCAGTACGGGAATGGATTTTTATACATCGCTGAAAATCAAGTCAGAAACAAAGAAGCATGGCTTACTCTATGGCCTTGGTTTAGCGGGCCTGTCTAAACTGCATTATATCACATCTCAAGACTGAACTGCATGCAAGTCCACAGGGCTTCCACTTCACCTGAGTATTCAACTTAATTCTGAATGACAATCAATACTTTGCTGTCACGGGGGGGGAGGGGCAAATTTAAATTGCCTTAAAGAGAATAATTTTTTTCTAATAGAAAGCTCTCTGTTTCTCTGAGACTTGCCATTTTAAAAAGTTTACAACTTTTTAGGAAATTTATAATTAGAAATCTCATCTCAACTGCTACACACAAACGCACGGAGGTTCCAGGAGAAAGATACAAGACTACACTACTTTAGCTATTACTTGTTTCCCAAGATAACATGTACAATAACATTTAACCAGAACATCTGACATTCTTCCAGTACAAATCAAACTGGTTTGATGATGAGATAATGGCTGTATTTGAACATCACAAATGGCTACGTCCTGTTCCTGGTAAAGTGGAAAATGTTCAAAACTTCCACTCCTGCTTGGCATGATTCTACTTTATCCAAAACAAGCAACCTGTAGTTTGTACAAAACAGCCTGTAGACCAGAATTCCAAAATTGTAATCGATGAGTTGTTATCATATCAGAACACAGATTTACTGGTGCTGATGTCTCACATAAAATCAGTGTTTTATCACACTAACTCAATTCCACTGATAAGCTGCACAGATAACTGAATACGAAAGATAACTGAAGAGTTATCTCACAAAGCCTTGCTAATCAGCTAACAGCAACATTTAGTAATACTGTACTCACAATAAACTAACTTAATAAGGAGACAAGACAATATTTAGCAATTGTGAAGCATGAAACATTTCCAGCTAATCACATTAACATCAAAGTGCCCATCCAAATCTTCACAGACAACTCAACATTTCAATTGAGTGATAGATAAGGGCTACACAACCAAATGTGCTTCATTATCTTACAGTCTTTCTGGAAAACAGGCTAGGCAATGTCCAAGGTTATTTCCAAAACACCTTTCAGCTGTCCGAAATGGGCACTACTCCTATCTGATAACAGAAACATTCACCTCACAAACATTCTCTAAGAAACTAGCCAACACTGCTCTGACAATGCATGATCAAACAGTTTAGTCCTCCCTCTGTGAAACTGTGAACTAAACCAATTCAGGTTACAAATACAGAAGAATGTGATTTGTTAGAATGAAAATAAGAGTACCTTTGTACAAACAGTTTCAACATTTATTGCACATCATTTTAGGTTATTTCAGTGCACACATGTGCATTATCTATCTATCCACATACAGACATCTTCATTATACTTCTGATAGCCAGGTAGACAAGATATATAGTTATAGATATATTCTCAAGCTGCTCTTGAGGACTTTGTGATTCAGATGACAGCTATATAAATACATTTGCCAGTCCACACACACATCCATAAATACGCACACCCCCATCTGCTTCTGACAACTGTTGTATCAGTGTTCCAGAAGGCTTTACATGATATCTGATGAATTCCAAACCCCTCATTTACCAAAAAAGAATTTGGTAAAAAAGTGAAACAGGTATTTATGCATCACTGTCCAAATCAGCAAATATGAGTCCTCCCACAAGCTCCTCCAAAACTTCTTATCAAGTACCTCTTGAAGAAAGGCAAATGCATTATGTTTTATTTATTTATTTTATTTATTTATTTTATTTATTTAATTTATTTATTTAATTTATATGCCGCCCACACTACCCAAAGGTCTCTGGGCGGCTTACAACAATTAAAATACAATACAATTTAGAGCAATTAAAATACAATTAAAATATATATAAAAATTGCCATCAGACCCACAGCTAATATTATTTCAATTAAAAGCCTTCTGGAACAGTACTGATAATTAAGCACCAATTTCCAATGATAGTTTTTCACATTTGTATCCATCCTTTTCAAAGAGTTCCAGAAAGGATGGACGTCAGGACTGGTAGCTCTCTACCAATCCTGTGTCATTCGGACTGGTCCAAATGTGTCATAGTTCAATATTGGTACTAAAACAAATCTCGCTGTAGTGAGCATCTTACTGGTGGACTTAGACACTGTATAGACAGATGCTAAAAGGCCACCACTGCCTATCAAATATCTGTGTTTGAGTAATATGAGATGCTTTCTATTTGAAATAAATCAATATTCTTTTTCTTTCAGTGAATCCACTGAAAGAACTGTTGGAACAAAACTAGACTGAATCCCCTCCTCTATATGCAATTAGACTTTAGGCAAAAAAACCTTCTTTACTGTGATATAAAGGCATGTTATCTTAATGTGAATGTGCTATGGGAACTGACTCGTTCACATAATGCAAAACATGGTATTTGAGGTCTGCTGGATGGAATATCCATTAGTTCTGTACAGGCTGATTACTAAAAAGAAAAGAAAAATCCATAAAGCCATGTGACTTTCTATAACTGCATTCAAGTCCTCCAAAAAGTTCATGTCTGCAAGATTTTAATAGCCCAAGACAAGGACTTGAAAGAACAGAAAAAAGGCCCAGCTTTTCAACAACATGTCTGTTAGGTATAAGTAAATTCGCTCCACTACTAAGAAATTCAAAATTATGTTGCACTGTAACATTGACCCTTTGTGTTAATCATTATTATCATAATTAATCATCATAACTGGGATGATCTTTTGAAATCTAAACTAAATAGGATAAGGGCATGAAGTACTTCTTTCATTAAAAAAAAAATGTCCCTCCATCAATATTGTCCCTCATTAAAAAAATATACTTGTTGAGGTAACAATTCAAAACCTGGCATCTATAGTCAAATTACATAAGCTATTTGCTGGGGTCTGCAAATGTGCCAAATTTTAAATCTATGTACTAAAAAAAATATACAGATGCAGCAAGTTAAGAGGTACAAAGTTCACAAAATGATTCTTCTAACAACACAATTAGTGGTACTTTAGAACAGATGGAAAGGGATCTCCTAAAAATTAAGGTACATGCAAACTCAAAATAGAAATCAAAAGACTTGTTTCTAGTTTTAAGCCAACTTCATGGGTGTCCAAACATCTGGGGATTAATCAAGTGTAGTTCTGGCTGACATCAAATGAACTTAGGAACAAAGGTCTCACTCAGTACTTCAGGATCAAAACCAAAGTTGCAAAGACAAAAGGACATTCATTTTGGTGCAGCATTTTTAAGCACCTTTAATGTCCTCACTCATCTACTCTTTAGCACCAAGATGCTGACATAGAACAGCCCTTAAAACCTGGCCTTTGGGAAGAATTATGTTGTAAACCATCTCTCAGCATTTCAGATTAGATTTTCATTGATATGTGCACTTTAGGAAGCCCATAAGACGACAATAAGTTTACTAAGGCTGATATTGAAAGAGCCTTAAGCATCTATACTCCACACATAAAGCAGTAAAATGCTAATCTGAGAATGTTAGTTAATTCAATCAGTACATGCTGTTTAGTGCCACTTAAATTCAACATACAAGTTTTAAGCTAATATACTATTTCTATAT